ACGGTGGCTGTCACAAAGAGGCAGTACTTGGAAGTCATGGTGCTCACCCCCTAGAGGCCACGTGTGGTCCAAGCGGGGCTTGTTGAAATGTCCTGGATCAGAGTCCTGAAAGTGCCATGGAGGGGCACTCCCTGGGCGGGTCTAAGCTGCTTCCTTCCCAGGCTGCTCTGATAGCCCATTGCTGTTCCTCTTCTTGGTGAATCCCCTGCCCTGCTCGGGGCACACTMGAGAATGTGGGGTGTATGAAATGGGGTTCTAGCTCTCGGGCAGGRACTGTTGGGCTGGCTGTGCAAGGATGTGCTTCTGTGGGAGCACCACTGGAACGCACTCCCAACTCCGCAGTGTGGAATGAGCGGCTCCTTACTGCAGGAACTTGYRTATTTCTCATTATCTTTCTCAGTTMAATTTAGTTTTCTGAGGAGGAGGCCATTTAAAGTAGCCATTTATAAATTTGACAGTAAAATTTTGATCCACAATCTGTGTAAACAGCCAGATAGCACATATTTATATAGCTTTAGGCTCATTATGGGGCTCAGTGGGATAGTAATGTGCTTATGATATGGGTCTTCACCAACAAAACATCTTCTCCAGCAAAACTCCTTTTTAAAAAGAATATTTGTAACAAATATATATTTGCTCCAAATTTATTTTATCTTTAGTTATTTTTACTAGTCTTGTGATTGTTCTCCTGCAACACAGATAGCCCAARGAAAAAAATGCCACTAACAGTAAATATTGTTACTGTGGAGTAGTACATATTATTGAAAGTCGAGGTTGTAATTTTTTAAAAAAATTTATTTATTTTTTTGTTTTAGGTGGACACAGTATCTTTATTTTATTTTTATGTGGTGCTGARGATTGAACCCGGTGCCTCATGCATAGTAGGGAGTGCTCTACCACTGATCCCCAGCCCTAGCTCCAGGGTTGTAATTTTTAATGGTGAATAGTGCTGATAAAAATTTTATTCTACCATCATGAAATAAATGTTTGAGCTGTGTGACTAGAAAGGTACTAATCTTCTAATTATTATACAYTATGGGAAAGACCTCCTGAAGCATTCTGTGACATCCCAACAGTTGCATATTTCCTAGCATTTTCTACGTCTGGAATAGTCATCAAACTTGGTGCATTGCAATAGCTGGCATAGGAAGAGATAGGTTTCATAGMACTCGCCCAGGGCTAGTTCATTTGTCACCTTGGCAGATGTGGTATCACCAGGGACTTGGCGCCTGAACAGGGATGTTCTGCTGCTTATCATAGGATCTTCTGATAATAAATCAGTGGAAAGTTTGGCACTCATAGATGAAAAACTCAAGGATTAGACACTTCTAAAAAAGCTTAATTTCATCTGGCTGGACACAAAAAAGTTAAATACCTTCTGCTGGACACGAAAGTTCTCTCCTTTCAATGTGCCAGCATTGTGCTACCTCCATTCTCACATGTCCCTCCAGCACCAGTTCTGTGCCTGCTCTCCCACAGGTGCTGCGGCCCAGCTTGCGGTGCTGCTGGATGGTTCTTGACAAGAGCAGTTACTTGCCGTCTGCCTGCTGCTAGTGGGCTGCCTAAGATGTACTGCTGGCCTTCACTGAGAAATAATTTCATAGGATTTCTTTGTCCTAGATTTGGAAAAAGAGAAGACTGATCAGGAGGGAATATGGTGTGTTTGGAAGATCAAAGCAATCCCGTGTTTCAGGTGGAATACTCTAAAAAAAAAAAAAATCTTTTGGTAATAGTTCTATATACTGTAAAAAGTCCAAACATCAAAAATAAGTAAATAAATAAAAAGGTATAAGAAGAATGCAAATACTGTGTGGAGCAACAGCCGCCTCCTGCTCCCAGCCCTCCTAGGTGTTCTACAGAGCCCTCCCTGGGCTCCATCTCTAYAGAGTGTGCAGAGTGTGGTCCTCCATGCATAATGTTTGACTTCTACTTTTGACACTCAAAACATGTTACAGATGACTTTCCTTATTAAATAAAGGAAAAGTACAATCATAATTTTATCTTTAGTTATTTTTACTAGTTTTGTGACTGTTTTCCTATTGTTTTTCTGGAGCTCCCCTCTCCTYGCTGCTAAGCAGAACTCTCAGCATTTGCAACATCAAGCTCTTATTTTCTGCTGCAGATATTTCCTTTGCCTGTCACTAAAGAGTCTCAGTTTGCAATTTTGAGTTCCACGATAATTTAATTAACCACATTTACATCTTTTGTGGGCATTGAGGCATTTTCCTTTTGTAAAAATTTGTTTGAACACTTGTCAGATGTGTTTCTGCAGAGGTAGCTGGCTAGGTGGGGTGTGTGTTTGTCCTTTGGTGCAGAGTGCTACCCTGCCCCCAGAAGGCCGGCAGCCCCGGTACAGCACGTGAGACGGCCCCACTTTCAGCCAGCCCTGAAAGATGCCTTTTTTCTTCGTGTTTGGCAGCCAGGATACTATCTTTGCTTCTAATTTTCCACTTTTTCATTGTATTTGAGAATTAAATATTAGTACCATGTGTAGTGTAGACACCTTGGAATCCTGTAGTCCATACTGGAAGTGTTTTCCTGCCTTCTAGACACCTGAACTTGGCCAGATGGACTGCTGGTCTTCACATGGACCCACTTGGTGCCTGCTGGCCCTCATGTCTGCTAGTGGCTATCCATGGCTKCATGACTTGGCTGCAGACCCTAAAGTCATGCTGCTCCCTCTGTGTCCTTATCCCTCCCTGCAGCCTCCTCCTTCTCCAGGACACATGGCACCCTGCCATGCACATGCTTGTGGACCTTCAGTGGTAGCCCCACTGGCTGGTTTATTGCCACTCTTCTCCAGTTTTCCTGCTCTTTGTGGTCCCCGTGTCCTGTTCCCAACACGGTCACCATGGCATTCTGTTAAGTGTGAAGCAAGAGTTGCCACTCAGCTGCCCAAACCCTGGACACCATAGTCTCTCTTGGCAGAGCACATCCTACATGCCTCATCTCTACCTCCCCCTGGTCCTCTGTGGGTCTTCCTTTTTCCCTGCTTTTCCTGTGCTGCACCAGGCGGGCCCCCTGGCTGCTTCCCACCTGGGCCTAGACCCCTGCCCTTGCTGGCCTCCCTGCAGAGTCCCAGCCTATTGACTGCAGCGCTGGCCATCAAACCTCTTCCTGCCCTTTCTCCATGCAGGCATCTCTCCCTGACAGGTCACTCCCCATGCTCTTTCCCCACCAGCGACCCACTCCAGGGTAGCAGGAACTATGTCTTTTCTCTTTGCTGATGTTTCCCTGTCATCACAGCCAGAACCAGCACGCAGTGCCCCGAGGTACACAGCCTAGACAGATGGCATCATGTGACAAGCAATGTTCCAGGGCCACCTGGAGCGAGCTGGCTGCTGACGTTCTTCTGGAGCTCACCTCTCCTTGCTGCTATGCATAGCTCTCGGCATTCGCAACATCAAGCTCTTATTTTCTGCTGCAGATATTTCCTTTGCCTGTCACTGAATAGTCTCACTTTGCAGTTTTGAGTTCATTTATTACTGTTATCTGAACACCTGATTCTCTACCATGGTTACAAAGCCTTTCTCCACTCAAAAGTTATTTAAAAATCCATTCATACTTTCTTCCAGCACCTTTAGGTTTTGTTCTTAAAGTGAGCTGGATCCGTGTGAATYTTAATGTAAGGAGTGAGAACAGGCCTGGCCTTGTCCTTGAATGTCCACAGGGCGGCTCCCAGCCCTTCAGCTAGCGGTTGGGCTTGTTCCCTGGWGAGCAGCGCCCACTCCTGTCCTGGGTGTTCACATGTTCTGTGTAACCAGGGAAAACTCCTCATTAGTGCTGTGTTCCATTCATCTGTTTCCATGCTTTCATTTTAACTTTGGTGCTAAAGAATTCTGTGGCTAAAGAATACATTGGATTTTTTTTTATTTATCCTTACCTTTAATGTCCATTTCTTCCATCCTTTATATTTTTCACAACTGAAAACAGTGTAGTAATCACTTTATTACCAATGTTGTGTTAATAGATGATGCTTGGATCTTGTGTTTTAGACTGGCCATTAAGCTATGAAAATTTTAAGCAATCTGGTGTGCATAAAGTGACTTTAAAAAAGTAKTCTCTGTATTTTTGTACCACATATATCACAGAACTCAGGTGCTCTCCTTTATTGTAATAAGAGTCTAGTTCAGTTATTTTTCTTTCGAAATTATGGCCCTTCTCATCCTGCCATCCATGGCAGAATGAACCTCCTTTCACACGGTGTGCCCGGTGGGCTTATCTTGCGTGGAACAGAAAGCAGGGGCGGGAAGCTGCCCTGTGTCTCTGTCTCTGGGTTTGAGATCTGATGGGGGCCTGCCCTGCTGCTGCTTATCAGTGTGCCCTTACTTCCTGTGTGCCTGTGCCTCCACACTGCTTGATCTTGGATAGTTAATGACACCTTTCAAGCCTTCCTTTTTTCTCTGTAAAATGGTGACAACAGCAGCGTTTCATTTGTCCAGTTGCGGTTGGAATTAATTGAAGTGATTCCTATGAGGTGTTCACCTAGCATTTGACACAAGCTAAATATCTAGCAGCTGTCAAATAGGCTTAATCAGAGCATATCCCCTTCCCCGGTGTAGCATGGGGATGGGCAGCACTGAGGCCTGCCTGCTGAGGGCTGGGAATCACTCAGGGAAGCTTCAGCTCAGGGGAAGAGGGCCAGAGTGTCCCAGTGTAGTTCACACCTGGCTACAGGAGGTTGAGTCTTGAGGGGCGGCGTCCACCATTCACTCTGCAGAGTAGAACCAGGGAAGTTATCATATTCAGATTAGCAACTTAAGATAGCAGGAGCAATTTTATTGGCTATTTATCACATTTTTAATTAATGTAAGGGTTCGATGGTGTGCCTGTTTTGTGCCWGTGTGCACAGCCCCATGTTTGAGTGTCGGGAGAATGGTGCTGCAAGAGCCRGGACCCCCACTCCTTCCTCTCCACCCCTTGGCATTGTGCCTCCCTGTTCTGCTCTGCAGTGACCGCTGGTCCGCCCTTCTCCTGACTCTGATGTTTCTCCTCTGCAGACCCACTCCCAGGAGAGGCCCTTCCAGTGTGAGGAGTGCAAAGCTTTGTTCCGGACACCCTTTTCCTTGCAGAGACACCTGCTGATACACACCAGTAAGTGCCTGTGTAGACAGTGGGGAGCAGAGGGGCTTTCCCACCCTGTTCTTAGAGCCCTGGGGATCTTGGGCCTCCCAGAAGCCCAGCCGTGCGTGGTTAGGGCATCTGTTCCTGAACAGGAGACGACTGGCAGTCCTGCCTCTCGCCTTTACTTCCTCTGTCATGACGTTTTTCCCCACAGTAAGATCAGTTGTCTTGTGAGGTACTTCATTTTCTGTCTTTTCTTCCACGGATTTATAGTTTGTATAGAGAGTGAGTCTCAGACTCAGTGGGGGAGCTTTGAATTTTGTTTTCAGGACATCCTTTCCCTCTCAGTTGTGTCGAATAAGAAAGCAGGTCTGCCTCTTTTTTAGAAAATTTTTCTAAATTTATTTTGGTTGTAGATGGACACAATACCTTTAATTTATTTTTATGTGGTGCTGATGATTGAACCCAGTGCCTCACACGTGTCAGGCTACCCCTAAGCAGGCATGCCTCTTTAAAGCATGGGCATAGTGACATGATTTGACCAACTTATAGACTTTAAATTTGGAGAGGATCACAGTGCACATTGGATTTTGGAGGGGGAGGTTGGGGATTGAACCCAGAGGCACTTAAGTACTGACCCACATCCCCAGCATGTTTTGTTTTTTTATTTTGAGACAGGGTCTCACTAAGTTGCTTGGGGCCTCACTAAACTTGTGATCCTCCTGCCTCAGCTTCCCAAGCCACTGGGATTACAGGCATGTGCCACTGTATTTGGCATAATCTAGAACCTTAATTTGAGAGGAATGGAGACTACTGAGACTAAGGAAGCAGGCCTGAGTGGGGTCTCTGACAGCAGGGTGTTGCTCCAGAGATGCACTGCACTAGCACATCAGAAACTAGAAAACAGTGCGCAGTGTGGGGAATATTTACACTTCTTTTAACTTGAGACCCTTTATCAGTTGAAAACCCTGAGCACATGGCAAGTTCCTGATACTGCGGAAGCCTTGAGTTTCTGGGACAATAGGACATCAGCTTTGTCCTGGAAGGAATTTCTCTGTCAAGTTCAGGTGTCTATGATGAAAAGTGGTGAAGACAGAGGCTTGCAAGTGCCTTGAGGTGGGGTGAGGATGTGTGTCACCTCCCTGGAGAGCTCCCAGGCTCTCAGACCTGCCCTGTCACCCCAGGCTCTGTGGGAACCTCCAGCACAGCTCCCACTCCCTCACAGAGGACGACCCTGTGGGACAGCAGCAGCTGCTGCCTGTTCCACTCTTGCTTAGTCTAAGAGAAGGAGCTGCAAATGAGATTAATGGGTTCTAAGATAGGGATTTGAAGAAGTGAGCCTCATTTTAAGATTTATACAGCCAAATTTGTTGTGATGCTTGGGATATTTTTCTGTGGCAAAATGAAATTTTGTTTTTCATAATAGCAAGGCATTTGATTCTTATCATCTTGAGAAATAAGGGTGGGTTCTGTGTGCCATGTCTTTTCTGTGATGTCCTCGGCACCTTCTGCACCTTTTGAGAGGCTTCCTGAAGCTGCCCAGTGCCATCTGTCAGGAGAGGCACCTTGATGTTTGAAGGGGAAGGTAGCCGTCAGTGAAGGCTTGGCGTGAGCAAGCGGAATAGAGAGGACCAAACACTAGGTCTGTCTTGTCTCACACAACATGAAAATTCAAAACACAAAGGCTGATGTTAGAAACTGGCCTCTGCATTCTGGCTCAAAATATTAAACCATTATCTTATTACTTTGGAAATTTTTGCCGTTTTCTTGTATATTGAAAACCAGGAAAGGTTGCTTACTAACTTCTAGGTATTAGGAGGGGAAAAAAATCTGATAAACTAAAGATAAACAAATCTGACAAAATAAATAAGACAGTCTCATCTGATGAAGACAAAGAAGTCAAATATGAAGAAGGTCAGAACTTCCTTGGTGTAACTTGGTAAAGTGTTTGTATGGGAACCAATAATTTGATTCATTTGATAGTTCAATAAAAATGCCTTGCAGTGATCTTGGGTTTTTTTTTTCCTTTACTTCTAAGATCTTTCCAGCTCCTGAATTCATTTGAAATCATTCTCATTAGCCCACATGGGGTGTTTTGAGGGGAGTGTGGGAGGGGCCAAGCCACTGGCCTTGCTGGACAGTGGCCTCATGTCACTGCCAGGGTCTCCTTCACCCAAGCTGAGCATGCCAACTGGAGATGCATATTTAAAGTGTGTTCGCTCTCCCTGTGGAGCATCAGCTGAGTCACTCCCATGTTTTCCAGTGGAGGAAACTGACAATATAGGTTCCAGGGCTTTCCTCGGGTCATGGGGACTTTCTGCAGCCACCAAGTGAATCAGTACAGGTGGATGGGAGCTGCTGCATACAGTGAGCTTTCATGGTTACGAGAAACTGCCAGAGCTACAAAGGAACTTGGTAGGGGGTAATGGGGCCCTGCCTGTTCCTGGTTCTGTCATTTGACTCTGTTTCCCAGGTGAGAGGACTTTTAAGTGTCACCACTGTGAGGCCACCTTCAAAAGGAAGGACACATTGAATGTCCACGTCCAGGTGGTCCACGAGAGACACAAGAAGTACATTTGTGAGCTGTGCAACAAGGCCTTCGTCACACCATCTGTGCTCCGAAGCCACAAGAAGGTGAGTGGAAGCCTCCCCAGGGTAGAGTTCTGTGGGTGCAGGCCAGTTCCCCCCACCCCTCAGCTGTTCCAACAAGACAACAGGTTTATACCACCTCCTCAGAAAACGTAGCTTTCCCATTTTTCAGAATAGACGTGTTTTCTCCATGAAGGAAGCTCAGAGTCAGAAGTAGATTCTATGTGACCCTTGGCTGTGTGGATTAGTGGGTTGTACAGATATTCAGTGAGTAGGAGCTTATCCATTTTTATACATTTGGGGGTTAATGTAGATTTTTTTTCTTTTAAAACTATGCATTTTTCCTTAGTAAGTTTCTTTTTTCCCAAGTAATTCAGATTGTGTTGGGAATAATTGAAGTAATTAGACTGGGCCTTCCTGGATTGGCCTGGCCCTTTGTCTTCACTCTCTAGGGCACAGGGAGGTTCCTGACAAGGACAGGGATTTCATAAGTCTTTGCTCAGCTCCTACAAGGTGGTGCCTTACTCAGAGCAATGTGGGGATGGTGTGATCTGCCTCACGCTAGTTGCATGGTACCTCAAGCATGTCAATAGTTTGTTTTCCATTTGTTGAAAACATGCATTTAAAGTACACTTTTGAAATAGCAAAATTCATTTTGTAACAAATGCAGTTAAAGGTTTTAATGTTGAGCTYAGGAATGACTGAAGTATGCTACCAAGAGAGTTGGAGATGTGGCCCCCTGAGTAGGACTTTGGGGCCTGTCTTTAACCTGGCCCCTTCAGAAGGACGGACCTGAGCAGCTGTCTCTTCCATGTCTCTAATGTTCAAGGGTAATGAAGCTTTTTGGATGCATTACTTTTTTTGCATGTATTTACAGTTTAAAAATTTTTTTTGTGGTAAGTGAGGAAAATAAGAATGGGTTTTGAAGGGTGATCTTGCTGTTGTCTGCTAGCACACCATCACACAGAGGTGCGTTGTGGCGAGCCAGCCATGGGCTGTGTGTGAGCTGTGTGCATCTTGAACACAAAGTGGACTGGACTAACGATGCTGCTCTGTCTGGGCTATGCACGTGGGTGTCCCTTTTGCTTATTCTGCCTTTGATCATCACATAGCACATGAGATGGGTGTGGCCTTCCAAGCTGTCAGCAGACATCAGGAAGCTAGACTCAACCCCCTGAAACCTGACCCCTTGCCTCATTTGAATGGCTTCTCCCAATAAAACCCAGGTTCGAGGTGTGCTGTCTTTCTTTCTTGCCTGCCTTGCTCCCCTTGTGGGAGCTGTGGCTTAGGAGTGTCACTGAACCCAAAGAAAAGGTGCTTTCTGTGTCTGTGTCTGTGTCTTTATTTAGTCCCCAAATTCACTTGGAATGACCCTTACTGGTTTAGTGGTGTGTTGTAACAGTACGTTGCTCTCTTTCATCTCTTATGAGTACACGGCATGTTCCTCCAAGGTTACAGTAAGAGGCTTCTAGGCTTTCTTAGGCACATTTCAGGTAGTTGAGTTTTGTACTTTCAGTGTCTTAAGGTGTCTAAGMAGATTCTGTTGCTAATGATAAGATACATTTTTTAGTTAAAAGAAAAAATATTTTAGTTTGTTTTATTGATGCAGCCTTAGTGTCTAGTTTGAAACCTTCCATATTATCTGGGATTTCAGCACATGTAACATGTAACTGAATAGTGAGTCGATGTCATGGCAGCAAAATTGCTGGGGTCTCATGGAGATGCCACAGTTAGCGGGCCACCTCCTGTTTGAGCAGCCAGGGTGATAATAGCAGATGTGTGCTTTCCAGAGGACCTCAAACTGCCCAGGGAGGACTTGCTGTCCCCTGCCCACTGTGGGGCGTGAGAAGACAGGTCTGTTGTAGGTCGGCTCCTCCTTCCTTCAACATGGGCCCAAGGTGCCAGGCAAAGGCTCTCCCCTAGTGCACAGGCAGGACTTTTGGTGAGAGAGAAAGTCAAGTACCTGCCACSTGCAGAATTAAGGGTGCCATTGCAGATGGCACCTTTGGTGGGTACGGGGCTGATGAGGCTGTTTCTCCAACTTGCTTGTAGTATGAATTCTTTCAAGGGAAACAGTTGTGCAGGACTGAGCTATCTAATGTTAATAAGGTATTTTAGTTTATAGCCATTTTAAAAATCACAAACCCAATTGTGCACATTTCAATACATCTTTTTATACCATCATGTAATTTGCAAATTAAATACCAATAAGACATGAAACTAATTATGTTAGAGTTAGTAACTAATTGATTGAAAGATGGAAGTGTGTTTGTGTCAGTCCTTTGGGGTGGCCAGGTGGCAAAGTGTCTGCTGTCTCTTCCGCTCTCCCCCGTTTCCCTTCTGAGAACATTCCATTAAAAACCCCTTTCCTGTTCCCTTTTGGCTGGTCCACGGCAATGCACGTAGCAGTACCCGCCAGTAATTTGCAGGAGAGCAGATGCAGGCTCAGGTCCGGAAGCTCTGCTCGGTGATGGTAGCCCAGTTGGTTCACTCCCTGCTTTTTAATTGTTAGGTTATCATTGGGAAAACACACTGAAAATTGTCTCAGAGACCGCGTGCAGATACCTGCAGGAATTCCATGCCTCCYCTCCAGCCTTCCCATGAGAAACACTGGGGTCTGACAGAGGGCTTTCACCTCTCATGTATTGGAACAATATGTTTTGATATTGGTGGAAAAACTGGTCTCCTGATGAGAGGGGTCCAACTTTCATACCTCTACTTTCCAGAACGGTCTCTTTGCTTTAAATTACAGRCATTGGTTGCCACTCACTTTTGAGGACACCACTCACTTCTCTTGGTGGGAAGGTCTTGTGCGTGGATGAAAGGTACTGAGAGCAGGGCTTCACACTGACTATATTTAGTTAACACCTGCTGGCTTGAGGTCTCATWAGATCTGTGTCCCTTTCTGCTTTGCAGTAAAATCATTCCAGATAATCATAATTAAGTAACAGATGGCTTTATTGATATTAATTTTGTCCTCAAGAGTTAAATGCACACAGAATGTAGGAGGTGCTTCCAGGAGTGGTCTTGGCAGTGTGGGTGCATTTGCCCCTCCTGGCTCTAAGTTTTGCTCATTTACGTGGTTTCCTRTAACTTCATCACATTTAGGTGGGTGCTCCATAAAGCCTTAAAAAGTGAACTACAGAACTGTTTTCAAATTAACACTAACACACAATTCTGAGGGTTCATTTGAACCCATGGGAATATCCATGATAAATTGTTTAAATCTCATTGTGATTTTAAATCATTTTTATGAAACATAATCCTGGAAAATAAGGATTTACTATTGTCAGAGACACTTAATCAGCCCTAATTCTTCCTACTTGTCTCCCTTCCCTTCAGACACACACAGGAGAAAAGGAGAAGGTCTGCCCATATTGTGGCCAGAAGTTCGCCAGCAGCGGGACACTGAGGGTCCACATCCGGAGCCACACAGGTAGGGCCTGGGCCTGGGGCCAGACACCCAGACATTAGCTCCTAGCTGGAGGCTGCCTTCCATAGTGCTGTGACGTCCAGTGCCTCACTCTAGACTGGTTTTGAATAACTGAATTTCCCCAAACAAGTAAAATGCCTGCAGTGGAAATAATTTTGTTGATGTTAAGTCGTGATAYAGCCGTGGTTGACCCTGTGTGGGGTTGTTTTTTATTTATTTTTTTGTATTGGGGCTTGAACTGGGTTGCTTAATCACTCAGACATACCAACAGCCCTTTTTATTTTTTATTTGAGACAGGGTCTTACTAAGTTGCTGAGGCTGGCCTTGAATTTGCCATCCTCCTGCTCAGCCTCCCAAGCCTCTGGGGTTACAAGTGTGCACCATCCGCACCTGACTTGCCCTGTTTAGGACTCAAAATGAGGGAATAGGGAGTAGATGTCACCTTTTAGCAAAGGCGGAGGGGCTGCTTCTCCACCCCTTCCTGTAACTGTCACCAAATGTGGCCCTTTTAACTTTGAGAAGCCATGGAAGCAGCTCGGATGCCCTGGGCATTTACTGGGTGAGCACTATGTACTGGCTTGCTTCCCAGGGGCCCTCTTCTTTCTGACTGCATCTTGTGCAGTGCCTGCCAAGAAAGTGGGTACCCTGCTAAAGGGTTATTGAGTTACTAAGTGTTTTTGAAGGACCCTGTCTGGATTTTATCTGTCATTGAAAAAGACTTRAAAGCACGCTCTAGACTCTTGACCACCCCTCAGCTCACCCGTCTTCGCGACTGGATGGTATTGCATGGGGAAATCCCCAGGCTGACTATGCTCAAGAAGCTTCCTCCTTAAGGCCATGGGATTTGTTTTTTATTGACCATTATATCCCCAGGACCTGTCGGTGTAGCACAGCGACTGCTGTGAAGGCAGGAATGCCAGCASGCATGTGGCCAAAGAACCAAGTCCGTGATTGCTGGACACGGAGGAGGAGGGACAATGGTGCATGATTTATTATTTTGGATATTTTGTGCCTTAAGCTAATGGACATGTAGTCACTGTAGTATTTGTTGTCTTAGTGGGGCCACTAGATGCTTCTAAATGACACACGTGAGCACCGTGGCTCAGCACTGTGGGATGGCTGTGGCTGTGGGGCTCCGCAAAGCAGAAGAGGCCTTTCTGCCGTGCACTGGTCAAGAGAAAGCACCACATCCAGTGATGAGCTGGACAGGATAGGGGCAGCAGAGGGCCTCATCTAGTCATGTGCTCTGGAAAGCACGTCAATGGCGGCTGCCTGTATGCAGCTTGCAGAGAGCGGGGAGGTCCTGGGCAGACTCTGAGGTCCCTGGGAAGCCCTGCCCTATGCACTGGGCTGTATAGAGCTGTGGTTGAGGGTGCTCGACAGACTGCATGGTGTCACTCCTGCTCACCATTTATGTGTGCAGGAGAGAGTAGGGAATAGGGAGTGCGTAAGGTAGCTGCATGTCAGGGTGACAGGTTCACAGTGTTACCTGGGAACATCCTGATGTGACTGAGTCAGTCTGGTGTGGAGCATTCAATACAGGGATTTGTGTTGCTTAGAACACACAAAGATAGCTTCCAGCACAGAAAGGGTGATGCCAGCCAGCCCTTGGCGTTCAGATGTCCCGAATGTGAGAGTCCTTACGCCCATACTTTATGTATTCATAACAAAGAATGGGTGAACAGTGGGGTGGAGCAAAGCTCTTACAATCATAATGGCTCCTAAAATTTTAATGATTATCYCCCACAGAATTGCAGTAATAAGAGCACTTTTTGAGATTCAAGAATTTTCTCTGATAAAATATTGAATTTTTATGTCATATTTTTTGTTGTTGTACTGTATTTTGTCCCATGTTGTACATAACATAAAGACTTATTCTAAAAGCTAAAGAACACTCACCTATGATTTGATTTATGGTGTGCCTGAATCTGTGCCACCTGTTGTGCAGATTGTCCTATTCACGTGGCTTCTGATGAAGAGAACAGGGTTCCCTGATGCCAGCAGCCCTGCCGAGCCACGGTGAGCCACACCCGCGTTCCAGCACATATGTGAACAGACAGATGCTGAGGCCCGGTGCTCATACAGATAGGCACATACACCCACAGATGACAATGCGTGTATATGTTGAGATGGGAAGTGAGTGAGKGTGTGTGTGTGTGTGTCCACACAAATAGTCATACAACTAATTGTTGATGTAGCTGTCCACTTGTAACTAGACTTTTCTGTTTAACATCAGGCTCATTTTACTTGCACATTTTACAATCCTTTAATTTATATCTCATGTCACACCTGTTCAGTGGTGACTACCGGGCATTGCTGGGTTAGTGGAAATGGGAAGTGCTAGGCAGTATCAGGGTGACACAGCTGCCTGGCAGCTGGCATCTGACTTCCACACATTCCTGGTGTGGGTTTCTTCTCCTGCATGGACAAGTGATGTTTGCTTCCCCTTTACTTGCCTTTTCCTGTCCTAAAAATGATGCACCTCCACGGGCCTTCCCAAGACAACCTGGTTCCTTTGAGGGTCTGGTGAGAGTCATGGGTACCCAGGAGCGCTCAGGCCACATTATGGGAACTAACACTCCAGATGGATTTCGCATGGTAAACACCTAGCCAAAAGAGCACCCACGGGTGTGAGTGCATGTGTGATGTGTAGGTGTGTGKGTCTAGGGCAGGCCAGGTGGACAGGCTGAGAAGAGCCAGCTGCTCCTGCAGTATGGCCCCCCAGCCTGCAGAGTTGGGTCTGCCTGGCTGGGCTGTTCCTTCCCAGCATGTTCAAGGGCTTCTGAAGCTGCTGCTCTGACACCTTCCTGTCCCTCCTGRTTGCCTTTGCTGGAATCTGGATCTTCAAAGCCAGCCAATGAGTAGGAGCTTGGCCAGCCTGACTCTTCTGTGTAGGGACTGCTTCTCATTGGATTGATAATGTTCTATTTTACAGTTGTGAATAGAAAAGCATTAAGACTTCTAAGAGGCATGCATATCTGTAGGTATGTTTCTGAATCTCATTCTAAAATTTATTTGTAGATAGCAAAATTAGAGCTTTGTGGAATGATTATCCTATTAGTAAGACAGTTACTGATACTTGAAACCATTTAGCAAAGGTTGCATCGAGATTYAGCGACTTCCCCGCCCAGATGGCCACCACGCCCCACTCATTGGACCTGGGTGCTCCTATTGTCTGCCCACTTGCACTGGGAGTGCATAGCACTGGCATTGGAGACACTGATGAGGGCACATCTGGCTCCCCTACTTGCTATTTGTGAGCAAGCTGCTTACCTCTCYAAGCCCAGGTTGCCTCGGGGGTTCTTTGTGAGGGGGTGGGTAAAATCCTATCATTATGATACTCAGTGCTGGCTCCTGGTAGACAATTGATTGTGGCAAGCATGGTCCCTAAAATCCTGCTATCACCTGGCACTTGTTAAGACTATGCTTCCCAAGTAAARTGAATGGCGATCCTTAACACTGGATGGCAGGGTTTGACTTAATTGCATGATTTCTCATATTATTATTTGCTCCTTTTTTTCTTGGGTTTCTTTTTTCTAGCATTACTAAAAATTTTCATTTTTAATATCTTTGCTTTCTTCCAATTTTATTAAAATTTTAAATATTGMACATGTTGAAATTTTTATAACTTAGATTCATAAACATAATCCCAGTTGACTCTTGATAATTTAATATCATGTTTGGCACAATTATAATATTAATGTTTTATTTTCGGAGAAATGCATTTTAGATGGCTATGTTTCCAATTAAGCCATCTTTATATAAATATGTAAAAGAAAYTCAGTTGAAAAATGTATTTGGGGCTGAGATTTGCATCCTGAATTTTGTGTGTCCCTACTAATTTCCTTGTTGAAATTAAACCATGGTGGCCCCCAGGATAACCTTTCTTAAGTTTTGTTTTCCTATCTCTACAGAATTGGTCTTTAGCTTTTGAAATTTGCTTTTCCTTTTGCATCAGGAGAATATATACAATAAAGATTATGGGCAGTACATTTTTATTAATAGAAAGAATCATCCTGTTCCTAGAAGGACTGCTTATAATAGTAGCAAAACAACACTGAGGACAGTCCTATAGAGCCAATGGTGAGGAATTGGCTGAGTGGACTATGGTATGTCCACGTCTACCACATAGATAATAAAAGTGGTATTACAGGGCATGTTAATTAACATGAAAGAAATGAAAAGGTATCAAAACAATAAAACAATGTTATGTTTTGTAATAATAAAGTATTCTTCCATTATGCTCTTACAAATTATAAATCATTAACTATGGTTATTTCTATGTCTTGTAAATATGGATGACTTGAATTCCCTTTATAATTTTGTATGTTTTCRGAATTTCTATAATAACAGTTTCTTATATAGTAGACATATTTAGAGCATATTAACCTATCTTACGATTATGTCGATAACTTATTAAAAGATGCATGCTTAAACATCTTATTCTTAAATGAGGCAGAGAAAAGAGGTGCATATAAAAGCATATACTGGAAATGGGAATGAGAATGAGCAAGCTGACAGGGTCAGCATGAGTGCAGTAAGGAGTTCACTGTGCCATGCTTCCAGTGTTTCCTCCTTTGGAACTTAGACATTGAAGAATTTGGTATTGTTTTATTCTGACAACGACCATGCAGAATCCCTGAAGCACTGAGACTGCGTGGGGTACATCCGTAGCAGGGCCTGGTCCTGAGCCTTCCCTGGCACAGGTCTCCCTGAGCTGGTGGGACATGTGCGAGGTGGCCATGTACCCCTCAGGTGGTGCTGCTCAGAGGGGATGATTCCTTGAAGATGCTGACCATCCTCACCCTCCATCCTTCCCTGGAGTKCTGGGTTTGTTTCCGTGAAAAGGAGCTGCATGGCATTTGCTATTCTTAGGGATTTTTCTGGAGGATTTTTGTTTTGTTTTGTTTTGAGATTTTGGAAAGTGTATATGTTTCTTATAAAGGAAGTATAGAAAATGGATCAGGTTCACCCAGTCACTCTTCACTTGACTAAAAGCTTCT